ATGGCATCAAGTAGACACAAAACAGAGGGGGATGTGTAGGTGTGAGAAATAGCTGTGGAAAGATTAGAAGGTAAGACTCAGAAATAAAAACAGTTGCTGGGTTAAGGCTGCTAATCTTTTATTGGCTTAAATTGTCTTCTTAAATTTTTTATTAAAAAAAAAACTTTCATCCAAAATGTCTCACAGATCTATGCACACTGCTGTAAAAAGATATTCAACATATTTCATTAAGTGAAAAAAGCAAGTTGTAGATTCTTATGGCCGTGTGATCCCATCTGGGTCCACGTACACACTGGCTTTTCTTAGAAAAGTTCTGAGAGGCAACAGAAGAAAATGATCATCACAGTCTACCCTTGGGCGTGAGACTTAGAGGGAGGGCCAAGGGAGTTCTACTTTTTACTTTAACTCTTCATAACATTATGACATTTACCACACATTACTTCTGAAATAAATTTTTTTTAATTTAAAAAGAAATAATAAAAGCCCCTTTGCTTCAGAGTTCATCTTGGAAATTCTTTTCCCAAGGACTGAAACAGGTAAATCCCAACACCTATTATTGTTGTTTTCTATAGTGTTGTGTGGCTACACGGTTCCTGTAGGTTTTTGTTTCTCCTCTGAAGGAGGTTGCCCTGCCTAAGCTGAGTGTGTGGTGGGAGATCTTAACCACAGAAGACCCCAATGAGGTGGTCAGGTCTGGCAGGCAGCCCTATCAATATGGCTGTCCCAGGGAAGTCCTCAGCTCTGTTTAGGAAGGGTGAGGCTTGACAGCAGTGGCTCCTTCCCTGGCCCAAGGCTCCTGTCCCTACAAAAGGAGACTCTGCAAGTTAAGTGCCCTTAGGGCACCCTGCACACATGAGCCTCCTGTAAGTAGCAGGGCTTATGGCCGCTGTCTTCACCAGGAGAGAAGGAGAGGGGATGATGGGATGTGTGGGGTAATGGTGAGGTAGGCTCCTTGAGAAAGGAAGGGGCTGTGGATAAAAGTTGAATGTAGATATGGATAAATTTTTGTTTGTTTGTTTAAACCAGCACAGTGTAGTTGAAAAGATTCTTAACGTTCCACCTCCTATATTACTTGCTCTGTGACCTTGGACAACTCACCTCCCCTCACTTTCCTTGTCTATAAAATGGAGATTTGGACTAAATTCTTGTTGAGATCCAGTTCATCAGTAACATTTTATGATTTTATGTTAATATAATAATCTAATAATCTAAATAAAGGAAAGAAATTTAAATATAAGAAAGAAGAAACCATTGATCATTATATGCTGCTTACATTAAATTACCTTGCATCCTTGGGCGTACAGTATTCATCACTCAGCCTATCAACCAGCGCCCCTCCCTGGGCAACATCACTCCTTCCTAAATGCTCACCCCCGGACTCTGACCCGGCTACCCTACCCTCAAGGTCAAACAAAAGAGATCATCCTACCACACATTCTCCCCACTCCCCAGAAGCATTCAAATTAAAGGAAGAAATGATTTTGTTTGTTGTGGGTCCTTATGGTGTGGTGGCCAGAGCCCTAGACTAGGAGTCAGACCACCAGTCCCCACCATGGTCTATCACTGCTTCACTGTGTGACCTTGAACAAGTCACTTCCCTCTCTGGTCTTAGCCTCATCTATAAAATGAGAAGTTGGATGGGTTCTTTTTATGAGCCCTGCTCTAATACTCCCCTTCTCTGCCCTACAGTGGCTACCAAGGCTAGGAGAGGCCAGAATCTGCAGACCAGCACTTCTCCAAAGACTCTGGGAAACCAGCAGACAACTTCCAGCATCCCCAGCAGGCCAGTGCCAAAATGTGAACACAGACAGGTGTCTGCACTCAGCACTGGGAGCCAGAAATCAGGCGAGATGAGCAAGGCCAGGCGGGGCCCCAGCCGAGGGCAGGCCTCTCCAGAGGGCATGCCGTCCTGATCCAAAGCTGGATCCTGCAGCTTTTCTCACGGATGTTCTCTTACTCGTAGGATAAGGACAGACAAGGCCTCCAAAGGAATCAGAAATATGCACTTCAGGGACCAGACCAGGGCAGGGAGTGGAGTTCAAGTTTCCTCGTTTGTTAATACACAGTTTTAGTTAAGGTACAACACACCTACAGGAAAACGTACATACACATGTACGGCTCAATATAGTTTCATGAAATGAACATATTCATGAAACAAACATCCAAATTAAAAAACAGAACAATACCTCCCAGTAATCCCCCTCGTGCCAGCTTCCAGTCACAAGTCCTACCCCAAAATAACGACTCTTCTGCCTTCTAGCACCACTGATTCACATTGCCTGTTTTGAACTTTATTGTACAGTATGGAGTCTTTTGAGTCTGGCTTCCTTTGCTCCACATTATGTTTGTGAGTTTCATCCGTCAGTACAAGTGAAAATGAAAAATAACTGTCGTTCATTTTCATTTTTGCAGAGTAAGGACTTAACGAGGAGCTAAAATCAATGAGACAGCCCTGAGTCTAGGCTAGGGTGTTCGCTGATAGCCAAGGAAGCAGGTACACATCCAGCTCCTCCCCAAAATCAGAATTCCTGCTGTTCTTCCTGCAGAGGCCCACATCATCCGCCTGGGGGGCTCCAGAGGTGGGAGGTGGGGCCTTGATGCCCCAAACTTGCTTCAAAGGCCAAAAGCTCTTGTTCACTGAATACTACCCTGTGCCCTGCTCTGTGAGGGACACCATAGACTCAGCATCTCATTTAATCCCTACAACCATGGAGTAGGTACTGTTATTATTCCTATCTTACAGGTAAGAAAACTCAGGCCCAGAGAGGTTGAGTAAGTTGTCCTAAGGTTGCACAGTTAGGAAGGGGACGCAAACCCCAATCTGCATAACCCCAAGGCCAGACCTCTCTACCACTCCATGTTGGCAGGGAGCTCGCCGGCTAGATCTGGCCCCTACCTCTGTCTCCAACCCCATTTAGCACAGCTTGTCACCAGCTCACTTTCCAAGGTCACACTGGCCTCCTGCCAGCAGCTCACGCCCCAGGCTCTTCCCCACCTCAGGGCCTGTGTCCTGGCTGTTGTCTTTGCCTTCACTAGTTCCCTCAGTTCTCAAATTAACAGTCATTTCCTCTGAGCAGCCTTCCCTGACCACCCAGTCTAAACTATGTCCCCTAGTCTCTCTCAGAGCATCCTGCTCTCTCCTTTCATAGCTCTTGACATACGCTAAAATGACTTCTCCTGGCTGGCCTGGTGGCGTAGTGGTTAAGTTTGTACGCTCCGCTTTGGCAGCCTGGGGTTCACAGGTTTGGATCCCGGGCGTGGACCTACGTATCGCTTATCAAGCCATGCTGTGGCAGGTGTCCCACATATAGAGGAAGATGGGCTAAGAAGGACTAAGGACTAAAAAGGAATAATAGATGAATTCTCCAGGAAACTGCTTCTACTTCCATCTTCAGATCCCCCCACCCCTACTTCTCAGTTCTCAGCCCACCCCGATACTAGTCCCATCAAACTCCACCCCTGTTATGTGCGTGGCTGCCCCCACTGCCAGCTGGAGCTCCAAGAGGGCAGAGACTGTCTATGTTCTCCTCATCTTTGTACCCACAGCACTTAGCACAGACTGCTACACATAAAACACGGCCAAGGTGAGGCCACCCAATCAAATGCCATAGTTAGGGTCTGCTGCTAAGGATGCCACTTTCCAGGGTCCCCCTGGTGTCACCAAGGTCAGGAGAAGCACCAAAGGCCAAGAGAACATGGCTTCCCATTCAGAGGCAGACTCCACTTGACCACCCCAGCCTCTGGGCCTCTGTCCTCCTCCCTTCACCAGGCCCTGGATTGCCAGGGGCAGCTGGCTCCGACAGAAGGCTGAGGAGTCACCCCCTCTAGGGTCTCTGCAGTCATTGCTCCCCCACCCAGCCAGCTACCCAGCCACCCAAGGCACACCCTCCCTGAACTTGAAGCAACTTTGCCTCCCATTCTCCTCAGAGTAAGGCTCTGCTTTGAAGCTCTTTCTGTTTTGTCTTTAAAAATAAAAGACAGCAAGAGAATTCGTCCTGACCCAAGAGCTCTACAAAGGAGAAAGGCCTCCTGTTTTGCTCTTGGACACAGTGGAGGCCCTACACTTCCAGGTTTTCACTCTGCTCGGTGTGGGAAGGGGTGAGGCTGGGTGTACTGGTGGGCACATGTGAGTGTGCAAGGGCTGTGCTCATGGAGACAGCACAACAGGTGTGCAGTTACAAACTGGACTGGCCAGACCTTGGCTATGTCACTTGTTGGCTGAGCAATTTGGGGCAACTTGTTTAAACTCTTTGGACCACAGTTTCCCCATCTAAAAAATAAGAGTAAAAATAATTCCCATTTCCTGCATTGTTATGAGAATCAAACTTCAGGACTGGTGATCTGTAATCACTAAAACGCCATCTAAATATTAGCAGTTGTTAGAAATGGAAGGCAAGAAGAGAGCTTCAGAAAACCTTCATCTCTCTCCAGATAGTAACTACTTTCAGATCTCGGAGTGCTGCATTCTGGGTTTTAGCAAACCTGAAAACGTAGCCGATAACTTAGATCCTAGAAACCTTAATGACTAGGCTCATGTGGCTTGTTACTCAATGCAAATCCATTTTCAGAAGGATTACTTCACCTCCCATTCAGGCTCTGAGCTTATGAAACAAAATCCTGGGAGCCATGGAGGATCCCAAGTGGGACTCAGGAGAAAACCCACGGGTCAGGTCTCACTCCAGAGCCTGTGGAGGACTTTGTGAGAAAAGAAACAGATAAAACAAGAATCACTTAGCTTCATCATAACTGTCAGCCAGGTTATACTGAAAACACAGAACTCAACAATTCTAGTCCTTTCTGCTGGCAAGTCTTTATTTCCAGAGAGATGACTATTTGCAGAGCTGCCCATGAAGATGAATAAACCCCAGGATTGTTTTTAAAGCATCCCCTAGTCCTGTAACAAGCCCACGCCCTACAAGATCAATTGACTGACAAGCGCACCAAGAGAAGAGTGACCCGGACTCCATCTCGCATCCGCTCCCCATCTCACCGCCACTTACCTCCCCAGCTCCTCTCCGATGTCGTAAAAGTCCTCCACTTTCTGCTGCTTGAACGTCTCCATGTTTAGGCTCCTCATTGAGACCTGGAGCGTACAGCCCTGAAATGAGAAGAAACCTGAGGTCGGGATGGATATGCAAATTGGCACAAGTCTGAGTTTGGGCCCAAAGGTAATTGGCTGCAAGGGAGCTAATAATTTAATGATAATCCACAGCCCTGGGTCCTCAAGAACTGCCCTGCTTAAGCCTGTCCTCACCTGTGACCAATTATGTATGGTTCTTATTTGATTTATATTTATTCAAATTTGTTAAGGAGACAGAAAAAAGAGCCCTCCTCTCCTCTTCAGATCTGCTCTGAAGAAGTTCAGAGAAACAGAGCCACAGCCAACTTCGGCAATTTCTTCCCACGAAATTCAGATTTACTGAGAAAAGTGGCAGCTTTTTCAGGCAGGAAAAAGAGCACTCGTTTTTGAGTCAGAAGTCCTGGGTTCAAGTCCCAGTTCTGCTCAGCTAAGTTATTTAAACTGCCAAAGACTTAGCTTCCCCATCTGTAAAAGGGGTTAATGCTGTAAAAACCAACTGCAAATCATGAAATTATCTCGTAAACTATAAAATGTAGTAGAAAGGTAAGGGATTACCACGACCTCAGCTCCCTCAGGGGCTGTGCCACCCAACTGCGAGTCTGAACTGATTGTAAACTTCTCACTCATCACCCCAAAGGAAGGATGTGCGGGAGTCATGTGACAAATTTCAACAGGCACCAGAAGTCAGGAGCCTGAGGTGCTAGTTCCAGTTCTGCTCACGACTAGCTCTGTGACCTCATCACTTGTCCGAGAAGCCTCAGTTTTCTCATCTGTAAAATGGAGCTAACTCTGCCTGCCCAGGGCTCCTCAGTGAGAGCCACAGGACAAGTCTGAGCCATGGGGAGCGCTCACCACTCCACCGGAAGAGACTGCATCCTATCCTGGGATCCCCCGGCCCCAAGGAGCTCACCCATTCCTGGGACAGCCACATGCCACCCTGGACAGCACCCCGAGGGCAGGGCCCAGGACACAGTCTGCAAATCACAAAGATAAAACCAGCTGCCTGTGGATGTATCTGTCAAAAGTCCTTAACTAAGTCCTCTCAGAGCTCATTTTGGCTAGTGTTGGCAGCTTTTCTTCTGCCTGCCAGTCAGATACCAACCATACCTAAGCCCCATGAACCCCAAAAGACTGTTTTCACCAGGCTGGGTGGAGGCACCATTACATAAGGGCACGTCTCATCAATGCCAAGTGGCTGGAGATGTTCCAACTCTCAGGCGATGTATACATTTCACCCTCTTTCCTCCTACCCAGCCCGGGCAAACTGGAGCCCTGTTACTAAGATGCCACTTGGCTCCCTCCCTTCCCCCAGGGCACACACAACCCTGAAGCCCTCCAGGCAGACGTGGCCTGGCTCCCAGGCCTTACTCTCAGGGTCACCTGCCAACCTCCTGCCTCTCGGTGCTTTGGTCTATCACACATCCTCCTCCCTGCTAGGTCCTCACTCTGTGCTGGGCCAGGGCCCAGCAAGCACGGAATACTGAAAAGAGCAGGCTCTAGGAGCCCCCATTCCAGGCTAGTCTGGGTGTATATTAGCTGTGTGACCCACAGCAGATTGGCACCCTCTCTGGTCCTCAGTCCCCTCATCTGTAACCAAGGGTGATAATGTCTATCGCACCTACTTCACACATCCGTGTGAGGATCCATTGTGATAAGGGCATAAACCGCTGAGCAAATAAGAAGGATGATTATTACTATTATTATTTGACTCATCCCAGGCCATTGTTTGTGTTTCTGCTTCCCACAGCCATTAAGACAACCAATTCAGTTCCTTTCTGAGGAGAAGGTTTTGGGATCCTCCTGGTAAGTCTGGCTTGACCAGAATCAGAAGTTCACCCCACCCTCACCCCCACCCCCATCCCAGCAAATCTCCTGAGACTACCCCAGAGAGTGGCAGGACTGCTAGCCACTATCTTCTTTTTGCTGAAAAAATCCTTCCAAATAAACCATTTCGGTCAGGTCCTGGAGGGTGGAATTATTAATTTCACACAGCTAAGTGGAAACAGAAAACTCCAAAAAAATTTTTTGGCAGATATCCTGAGAGTGGTCCCAGGTCCCAGGTCCCAACAGCTAAGATCCTCCATCGGCAAGAGGCTGGCTCCATTCGCCATCAGGAGCTGAGCTGGATTTGAAGTGGCCCCAGCTCCCCAGCAAAATGATGAGCCCCATCCTTGGGCTCCACATCCTGGGTGGCTGGGGTAGGGGCAGGGGAGCCCCCTAAGGACAAACTAGGCCCATCAGTTTGGCCCCAACTCACCTTTCTGGCCTTAGCCCCCTCCCCTCACATATCCTATATTACAGCCAAAGTAGACATTTCCCACTTGCCCAGAACTTTCACCCCCATGCTCAGCTCAAGCTGGCCCTTTCCATGAGAGGCCCACCTGGAGGGTCCTCCTAGCAAAAGTGCTCCCTTCCGGCAAGGCCCAGCTCAAATGCTACCATCTCTGTGAGGCTCCATGACCCTTTTTCTTGCCAAAACAGATGAAAATTCCCCCCCTCTTTAAATTCCCAGAGAGGGCTCTTCATACATTTTTAGGATTAGAGCTTATCACATTCTGGCTCATCATAATCTGTGTGTGTGCCTAACCCAGAGGGAGAGTGCACAGATTCCACAGTCACGTGGGCCTGGTTTCGAATTCCAGCTTCGCCACTTACTAGCACACACTGAGCACAGGACAACTTTTCTCAGCTTCGAATTACTTACATGGAAAATGAGTCTAGACAATGCCTAGTGTTGGTGAGTATGTAGAGCAACCAGAACTCTCAAACACCGCCAGAGGGAGTGTACACCAGGACAACCACTTTAGAAAACTGTTGGGCAGTTTCTAGGGATACCTAAGAGAAATGCATGCAGGTGTTTTCTAAAATGCTCCATGTTAGAAGGCTCACAGCAGCACTATTAGTAATAACTAAAAATTGGAAACAACCAAATGGCCATCAATAGAAGAATGGATAAATACACTGAGATCTACTCATACAATGGAATTATTATACAACACTGAGAATAAATAAACTACTACTACCTGCAACAACGCAGATGAAACTCACAAACATAATGTTGAATGAAAGAAGCCAGACAAAAGACTACATAGCATGTGATTCCACTTAGGCAAAACTAATCTGTGGTGCTAGAAGTCAGAGAGTGGTTACCCCTGGGTGGGAGTTGTGCCTGGAAGGAGACACAAGGGGGTTTCTGGGTGCTGGCAATGCTGTTTCTTAATCTGGGTGTTGGTTACATGATAGATGGTATGTATATTTATTTTTTATGCAATCAAAATTTTAAGTTCAAGTGCTCCACTTTGGAGGCCCGGGGTTCACAGGTCCGGATCCCAGGCACGGACCTACACACTACTCATCAAGCCAAAGCTGTGGTGACCCACATACAAAATGGAGGAAGACTGGCATAGATGTTAGCTCAGGGACAATCTTCCTCACCGCCCCCCCAAAAAAAGAGTCTAATATCAATGGGACAAGAGATAACATATGTAAAATGTTTGAAATAGCGCTTGGATGGTCCCAACAAATGTGAGTTCCTTCCCTCCTGCCTACTGTCTTGGAGCCACATGAGGGCAGGAGTTGTGACATTCTCACCTCAAAGTAGCTGGTATACAGCAGGCACTCCATAAATGTTGGTTAATTTAAACTTAGGACCCCAGCCTCCCTTCTCAAGGAGCTGCTCAGATATCTCACCAGATAAAAACAACTGATAACAACTTAAACCCCTTTCCTAACCTGTCCCCAAGATGAATTTGCATTTTACCAGTTTAAAAACATGTAACTAAAGGGAAGAAACTCTGAGGTGGAATTATAGTCGTCAGTTAGGACCCAGAGAAGGACCCAGAGGCACAGGCACCTTTCTAGCCCTGAAAAGATGAAACTGCAAGGCAGAGGGGAGGGATACAGCTACAACTCCACAGGCCACTGGCTCCAGACATTGCAAGGATGAGGCCCATCTTAACACCCACATTATGGAATCTCTGGAATTCACATTCGTGCCCTCAACCCTAATACTAGGCAACACTTCAAGGGTTAACACAGATTTCCTAGAATCTCACAGAAAGGGACCTCTAAGATCATCTAGGGGATTTTCAGACTCTGCTTTAGGAGCGTGAGGAAGGGGAGCCAGAGCAGTTCCACTTTACCCATACTATATGTTGGGGTTCTGTGTGAGAATTCATGGCAGGGGACGAGGGTGTTGAAAACCACTGTTGTCTTCTCTAACCCACTTGTTTTACAAAAGGAGGAAATTGAGGTCCAGACGGGGGAAGGGACTTGCTGCAAGTCACACGGCTAGCCCACTCCAGTTGCTCTTCCCAGGGCTTCTGTTGACAGCATCCCCAATGCTCCGATGGCGGCGCAAGTGTTGGAGAAGTTAGTGGCTTCCTGAAGGACAACCTAGGAGGAGGCCTCTAGGGCTGGAGGATGACCCCACAGGGAACTCTCAACCCTCCTAAGCCCTCTCCCCCACTGGCCCCAGCTCCCTCTGCTGAACTCTCAGAGACCCCGACCCCACCTCACCCAGTGTAAGTCAGTGAAACGGGACCATGCAAGGGGGCAGGCATGATTGTCCTTTTACACCTCCCCCCACATTAGGGATCATCACACTCAGGCTCTGAGGCGGCTGCCAACAGAACGGAGGGGCTCCAATGTTAAGAGAGCCCCTCTACGCACTCGAGGCTTTGACCCACCCCAATCTCTGCTGAGGAAGCTGGGGCTCAGAGAAGATCAGCCACCTGCCTGAGTTGACATAAGAAAACTCCATCTTTTGTGGTGAAGGTCCAGCTCCGCTGGGCAGCCTGCTTATTCACTCCCACATCTAACAAGAGAAGCCTTAGGGAGGTGGTCCGGGTCAGTCCAGGTCTCATTCCTGCCAGCCAGAAACCCGCCCCAGACCAGCACACACCCACCCACATCCACACACCCCTGTCCCCCTACCCAAGCCTCTCCTGCAGCCACTGAATTATCAGCAGGGCCACTTTAGGTGCTAAAAACATATCTTGGGAGATGAGTGGTTTGAGGAAGAACAAGGCTCTGAAGGTATCTGTGAAGAGGCCAAGGCACCAGCGCCCCTCAATCACCAGGACTCTCCCAGGAAGATCTTACAAAGGGGCAGTCAGGAAGCAGTGTCAGACCACAGCAGCAGCCCCCAGCTGCTCTCCACTGGGTTCTACAAGTATTGAGGTGTCAGGGGCTGCTCTCCTTCCATCTGCCCCCAGAGACCTTCCCACCTGCCTCTGAGGCAGCCAGCTACAGCGTCCTCTCTTCCAGTGTGCACCCCTAACCTACCACTACCTGCCCAGCCTCAAAGCTCACCTCTCTGAGCCTCATTTTCTCCTTGGTAAAGTGAGAATACTTATTTCCACTTGTAGTGTTACAGCAGTGAGGATTAGCTAGACCCACACATGCCGTGAGACATCCACAATGCCTGGCCCAGACTCAGTCAACTGTCGGCAGCACCCTGCTATGCCCTTCTACCCCAGCCTGCCGCAGACCTACTGGCTGCCCCCATGACCACAGGGGTGGGGGTGGGGGGTGCAGGAGGTGTGCGAGGTGGCCAACGCTGATACGACCTGGCCCCCCTCCTCCCGGAAATCTGGGATGCTCTTCCCTGTCAAGCGGCCCTAACTTGATGGAAGTCTGTCCCTCATCTCCTCCCTGGGTGCCATCCCTCTGCCTGCTGCCCCCACCCCGTCTCTCGGGTCAAAGTGCCAGGCTTCGGGGCGCTCCCTGGGGACACAGCAGGCAGGTCCCCGCGTTCCAGTGCCGGCCACAGCGCCCAAGGCCACGGCCAGCCATACCCGCGGGCGGCGTCAGGGACAGGAGCGGTGGGCTTGGGAAACACGAGAGAACACCCGGGAGCAGTTTGCCCCCGCCAGCTCCAGCCCCCGGGCGCCGCTGCAGTCGGGCCGCACGCCCCGTCCCGCCCGTCGAGCCCGCACATGGGCGCTACTCACGGCGGGAGGCTGCGCTGCGGCGGCGCGGTGGGCACA